AACTTTAAATACTACTGTGTTCAGCGTTGCAAAAGCCCAGTGCGTTCAGTGAATATTCGTATTCCATGGAAAACTACAACAGTCATATTCTTAAACAGCTCATGTCATTCTTTGGCTGCCCTTTACGTGACTCAATTTGTTGTTGACTCTCATCGTTTTTAGGCCAGAGCATTTGATCAAAATGTTAATTCCCTACTCAATGAGCACATTGGCCATCGTTTCTTATTCAACTGTCAATGAGATATTCTGCCTATGATACACCGCTGATACGTGATTATTGCCTCAAGCTTATAGCCTCAATGAAGGCGCTATAGACGCAGGCGGCGTCCGCAAAGAATTGAATACGTAAGTCAGACCAAGAGCAACTGTCATGCGCTCAAGGGTTAGAAAACAGTTCACACGTGCCCACATTGGTATTCTTACAGCATCATCATGGAAATGAAAATTTATTAGGATAACACTCAAGGAGCAAATAAAGAGTAAGATTGTTTCATTGTACTCAAGAACACATTGCCCGAAGTGAGCCTACTGATATTTAAGACCGATGAGTGTTGTCCAGCTGCAAGATATATCCGCCTCCAACGATCATACAGTGTGAAGTAACACACATATTCTGTCAACAGTGTTGTAAAGGGGAATGATAAATCTACAAAGGACAAGATATAATTCGTTTGTTACCATGGCACACTCTTTAAAAGGCAGTGTTTGATGTGATATGTGCTTAGCACTTTGCCTTTTTTATATAACACTAAAATTGTATGCAAATTAAGATACCAATCGCCATATTTTTAGGTACGACATTTAATTAGTGATTCTAACATAGTAGTGCAAGAGAATGTATATAATAAAATTCAGGTAATACAGTGAGTACTCAAGCAAAGTATATTTATTGCTAGATTTATGGATTGTAACTTGAGGCCAGCACAACAATGGTAGTAGATGAGCGCAGAGTTGTAGGCCTGTACACAAGACAACAGAGTACATGAGATATAAGCCATCACGCAGATTATGAGAAAATGGGAAACAAACCATGGACTAACTACCAAGCGTCTCAAAGTCAAAGCCTCGGAAAGAATGTAAAAACACGATATTATAAACAGATGAATACAGGCATAAGGACTATAGCCTATGCCAGAATATGTACACACATGCAGTTACGATAAATGCACGTGACGACAACTATTGCAGAGAGTAATGGGCATACACGCGGTCACTACACGACGTCTACACACTCGTGCATAGGGCAGACGCGGTCGATGTAGTGATTACAAGGCAAGGACACCATTGGCAGTGCAAAGGACAACGCAAACGTTTAAAAGATTTTGGGGCAAATGATTACTCTGTTTCACGTCATGGCATTTTAATAAAATTTGGAGAACCGTGCCTAGGGGTATAGCTAGAATTTCCAGTAATAACGCTGGTATCAATACACTGGCCAGCATCTTTCTATCAGCTATTGTTTTGTGCTCAGAATTTTAATCTGTAAGATTACTGATACATATTGGTCTATGTACACCAATGTGGCCTGAATAATACTTCCCAGTCATTTAAAAGTATTAAATATATATAGACAGATTAAAGCAATTGTACTTCTTTTCTGACGTTTTTCTATTAAAACTTTGATTGATCATAACTGTGATACATCTTGGAGATCTGTGGACGTGTACTGCTATGTAGGTGGTGCACACTCTTTAAATTGCTTTACTTCATTAATTACATATTAAACGTGGTTGTAACTAGACTATTTCACTAATATAGCATAATTGATACATACCAGTTTCACGTCACCGAGAATCCAAACGGAAGAACATTGCCATGGTCCAAGCGATGATAACGAGTTGTAGAATAGAGGCATACTTATTAAGTTCCTCATAATGAAAAGCAAAAAAGAACTTATAACAATCTTATTACCTATTTTAGTAAATGAACACAGAAATAGGATAATTGGTCTATTAGAAATATTTAGAAAAATTCCGCTGACAGGTATCCACCCAGTCACACATACTGGATAATCTGGGAGTGTTTTGGGTATGGCAATAAGACTTTCACTTTTCCACATGGAATAATGATCAACATCTTATGTGTTGCTATGGCCGTAGGGGTGTGGTAATCACAGTCAGGTTACAGAATTGACACATATCTATACATATATATAGATACGCTGACTTGGAGCGTGGCGCTAGCTAGATTTTTTCCGCCGGGTGGGGGGGGGCACTGGAGGGGCCTAGATTTTCGCTGGGGAGAGAGCACAACATATATAACTTTTTTTGTATTATTAGTGTTCTGACGGGATTGCTTGTTATCATTCATTTTTTTTTATCAAGACATGAATTTTCATGTGGGGGGGGACCCTGAAGGAACACA